TTCTTCTTCATACATTGTGGAACATAATCCCTCGCATTACGACAGCGATTAATGTTTCTTCGAAATACTCGGCTGCAGGCGAAAATCAGTAAGAAGCAACAGAGACTACCCGAGCGAGATTAATCGGCCGCATTGTTTCCCGTGCGCTTCTTCTCTTTGAAACGGAATTCCCGTGAAGCAGAGATTGCTGCCACGCGAATCGCGGCAATTGCGATGTAACGAAGTTACTCTTTACGGAATGGATCTGCATACGTTCTGTTTGTAGTCCGATCCAGCGTTGTCTGCAGTTCGTCACCTTGCAGTTTACGGCAAATGTAACGTAGAGCAGTTGTTTGGAGTTAAATACGTAGCCGAAATAAAGCCGAAATAAAGCGGCGAGTATAAAGCGGAAAAATAAAAGAACAGACGTCGGTAACTCTTTCGCTCGAACGAAATAAATGAAAGGAGAAAAGGAAAAAAAGAAATAAAAACCGTATGGTTGCACCGATTCGTTGCATGTGGAGTTTTCGCCGTTTAAACGGGCTTTCCGTGGCGAAAACGAGATTCGCCCCGCCATTCGCTCTCAAACTCGTAACGTTAATTATTTCTACGAGAAAATACGCTAATAAAGATATTACACTATGCATCATAGCCAAAGCAATAATAAATTGCACACGTTCTGGCCAGTCTCCCCTTATCGTAATATATAGTGCGATGTAGAATACCGAAGTAACCATTAGCCCGTAGATTAATTGTAATTCGAGCGTGATCGTTAACGCGACGAAGTCGTATCTCAACTTTGACATTATTGTGCAATAATGAGGTATTTCCGCCAAGATGTTGCAAGACCGAGAATTTTCTTTCGCGACGGATCGTATTCGTCGACTGTAAATAGCGGATGGCACGTTAATCTTGTATCAATCCGATCCTTCTGATCAGGCTGTATACGAATTGTTTGTATAAAGGTGGATGACGCTGTTTGACGATGTTCGACGACGACGGTGCGCTTAACGGCGATGTAACATATACGAGAATAAATCTTGCACGACGTTGTATTTAAAATCATCCTATTATAGCGGTGCTTAAATTACAGTTAATTTTATTTTAAACGATAGAAAAAGATTCGTATTATTATACGAGATATAGCGTGAAAAAAAAAATGAAATAAAAGAACCAAGTCCGAGAAATAATCCTGAAAAATTGCATAATTATTGGATTTAATTTTCTTCTTTTTTAAATACTTTATATAAAATGCAGTACGAATTATTTATTTCTTATGTGCTGCGTTACTAACAGCAACATTTACGTAAATTTTATTCGTGTTGGAAATTTGAGAACTGCTGCCCTATGAAATTTGTAGACGGTCGTGAATTCTCCGAATTTATTATTAGTATTTAGTATCAACTTTAATATATGGAATATTGCTCCTAATGGAGATTCCAATGATGAACGTGCGCGAAGACTGGTGTGTATCGATCGCACAACTACTGCATATATATTATTTTAAAATTATGTTGTATCTCGATAAAAAAATTCATTTGATTCGCTGAAAGTTCCATGATAGTAGTCCTATTAACTGTTAGGATCACATTTACTGTACTCATCTCTAGAATCATATATGATGCTTCAGAATTCATGTTAAAACAGCTTATATACGTCAAATTTTTAAATTTTTTTGAGATGTTTTTTTTAGCATTGATTTATTCAGATATATTAATCTGATTATTTTGTCGATGTTATAATTATTTATATTTTATACAACATAAAGATTATGATGTTAATCTTTGCACATATTATGAATTATAATTCTTTTTTAGCTATTTTGTATAATTACAACTTGAATTCCTTTATATTAAATACATTTAATTATCACTGTAAAAACTCAATTTTAAGGACCAACTCGTTTTTGTCACAGAATTGACAGAAATGTGTACGTTAAATAAAAAATAATTTAAATTGACATTGAACTTTAGTTAGGAAATAAGTCTCGATCTAAAGGACACAGTTATTTGCTACTTTTAGAAAAAATTGCAAAAAAAGTTTTCTACCAATAATCTTGTATATATCACTTTGCAAAATGTTATGTCACCTACGTCATTTAATATGGAACAATTATATAAAGAATAAGCAGAGAATGAATTATAAGATTAATGGCGACAAAAAAATTATTGCAAAAACAAATACAGTTCCGATCGCCTTGTTAAGTGCGAACGACTGATATCTATATCTAATTGTGATCACCATTGTTTTGTTAAGAAACGAAGAAAGTAAATAAAATGAAATGCATCACCAGAAACACTGTTGAAATCCCGACAAAGCATGTCGGATCATCCCTGCCTATTTCTCAATCTTCTTTTCCTTAAATTAACAATATTTCTTTAACATTGTTTTTAAATGTAACATATATCCTTAAATAATTTACATATTGATTCCTAATTGTCAATATATAATTTTCATGCTCATAAAGTGCAGATATCTCGGGGGAGTAAATAAAATGCCAATATTACCGACCGTTTTTACTATCGAATGTAGTTAATTTTTTTCGTATCAGAATATTATATTATGATCGTGCGATTTATTAAATGGTATCCTGTTACATTTTTTTAAATTATTTCTCTTTCATTTCTTTTTAATGCTTCAATTTTATACCTTAATATTTATCTCATTTTCGGTACAGAAAGTGCAACAAAGTGTAGCTAGGACTCGTGATCATCTGATCCGATTTCGAGGTGCGAATGATTAGGACTCGAGCTCCTTTTCACGGATCATGTAATTGGAACTGATTGAAACAATCGTAATTGAATCACCGCACAAATGTAAGATTAATATATCTCATATACAATATTGCGCTATGTCGCGTATAGAAATAATTAAATATAAGATATTCGGAGATTAGGCAAAACTGTCCAACGCCGGTTCTAGGTTAGTGTACTTGCGTGTTTATTTTTCGTAGAAATAAAAGAATCCATTCGAATCCATATGACGTCCGCTATGATGATTGATCGCGTTAGTCGCTCCGTTCTCCACATGTGCAAGCGAAATAAAAGGATCGGTAGCCACCAGCGATACACAGTTAGACACAATTCGACCCAAGTCGATGGCAAGATCTTAGAACGCTTGATTGACAGGAGCATACTGCGCGTAAACGGTAACGAAGCCTCTTCGTTCCTCCAGGGATTGATTACGAACGATATGAAGCACCTCGACGAAGGGGCGCCTAGCATCTATACTTTGTTTCTGAATATCCGAGGCAGAGTGATGTGCGATGCTATTGTATACAAGAGTGAGGAAAGCAACTTGTATTACGTAGAATGTGATTCGCAGATTGTTGATTCCTTACAGAGACACCTGAAGATGTATCGCGTGAGACGAAAGATAGATATAGAACATGTAGGAGACAAAATCAATGTTTGGTCAATGTTCAATTCCATCAAACATCTCGATAATGGAGCTGCGGTGAACGAGACAGAAAAGGTCAAGCTGGAAGGAATGATATTTCCATGTGGCACGTTTAACAGTAAAACCAGCAAATTTATCAACAACATTATGATATACGAAGATCCCAGATTATCTGATCTTGGCCTTAGAATTCTCGCTGAATCACAGATTAGTAGAAATGAGATAATTAAACATCTAGACACTGATATAGTTTCACCAGAGAGTCTCGGAGACTATAAGACATTTCGATATAAATTAGGAATAGGGGAAGGCATGCATGATCTGCCACCTGGGAAAGCATTGCCCTTAGAGATCAATTGCGATTATTTACACGGCGTTAGTTTTCACAAAGGCTGCTATATTGGCCAGGAATTAACCGCGCGAACATATCACACGGGTGTAGTCAGGAAACGCCTAATGCCTCTGTTGTTTGATAACTTTATAGATAAACCGTTTGCGTATGATGAGAAAATTCTTAACGAATCTGGCAATGCGGTAGGAAAGTTCCGAGGATATGTCGCTAAGTACGGATTAGGCTTGATGCGTATAAATGAATCTCTTAGTGCCCGACAGCTTAATGTATCTGGTATGAATGTAAGAGTAATAAAACCTGCATGGTGGCCTCAAGAATTACAAAAAGAAATGGTTTTTGCCAAAGATACAAAGTAACATTAAGATATTTAAATATCACATTTTTAAATATCATAAATTTATATAGAAAATAATTGTATACGTAGAATGTAAAATTGTAATATATTTATACATATAAAATAAATTTATGCCCAAACTCGATAACACATTGAGTCGCTTCTGTTCCTTGTTGCTTTATAGGAAGGAGGATCTCGCCGACACGTCAGCAGGCGAACCTGGTATCAGTGAGCCGACGCAACAGAATGCTTCTACGAGTCAACAGACGGCGATGAACGTGGGAGGCACTTTCACATGTTCTTTTTGTCTTTTAAAAGAGCGCTATGATTATAAAGGCACAAGACCGCCATTCGCTCGGCAGTTCGTTTATTCGGAAGAGTGTTATATTATGAAAGATCCATTTAGTTTACCAAATAAAGGCGAAGTCTTAGTCTTGGGCGCCGATTGCAGTATGTGCGAACACGCGGTATGCCTAGGATGCAGCATATTTTACACGAGACGTTTTTGTTCGAAGTGTGCGTTCAGTAACATGCAGCATTTACCACCCCAGTTACATGGTAAAATCAGGAATTTAACAAAACAAGCAGATTCTTAAAAACTTCTTGTCAAACGTTATTTATTAAAAAGCAGTGGCAGTTACATTATAATAGTATACGAGGAAGTATAATACATTAGAGGTATTCTCGTTTATACATTACGTGTGATCACAGTTTTAATGAGAACTGTAATGTTCCTTGTAACATTGTCAATATTTATTTTTTTTCTTCAATATTAAACGAACATATATATGAACACATACAAACAATATTTTTGAAAGTAAAAACTCGCGTGATAATTGTCTAACCAATCCATAAAATATACGATATTAAATTTCTACAGATTAGTCCTTCATTACAGTGCCAACACTTCTTTTAAAATTAAATAAACACTCGAAAAATATCTTCGATTATAAAAAAAACGTTAAAAAAATTGTGTAGTATGTCTAAGAATTCATAAAATACGATAATATTATCTTAATTTTGTTTAGTTTTTTTAGATTTAGGTACAAGCTTTTCTGCCATTTTCTTCTTTTTCTTATCAAGTTTGTTTTTCTTATTTTTATTTTTTAATTCAACCATTTGACCTTGAAATGCAGTAGACTTTTTTTCATCTCCCTCTTGCTTTTTATGCTTCTTAACGTTTCTTTCAGGTTCAACCTATAAAAAGAATTTGCAACATTAATTCTATCTTTACTTTTAAGAAATGTACTTCTTTAATTAAACTACTTTATTTAAGCAAAATCTGCAATATACTATATTATCAAAAGATTTGCAATAAATGTATTTACGAATAGTATTTAAATATTTACATTAGCAGGCTCTTCCGAGCTCCTCTTTTTTCTTCTTTCTGCTCGTTCTTTTTTCTCCTCTTTAAGAAGTTGCTTTGCATTTTCAAAAATTATTCGATGCCTTCGATGTGTTTCTTTTATCAAATTTTTTTTTACTCTAGGAAATTTGTCCTCATGATAGGGATATGGCATCACTTTAATTTGCCGTCCATTAAGTTTTACATTATTACATTGAAGAGCAGACTTTACAGAGTCCGCATTATCAAAGGAAACGTAACCAAATCCTTTACTTAACCCCGTCCATGGATCACGTACATTTCGCATACGTACTATTTTTCCACAATTATTAAACAATGCCCAGATATAGTTGTCAGGCATTTCTGAAATATTAAAAAACATCATTCCATTATTATTTTCCATACTACATAATTGCCACAAACAATGATTCATTATACGTACTCTTTTTTAGATTTGCTATATATACAGCATAGCTGGGCTTTTCAACAATTTGATCAGCAGTTATAACATTTAAATAATTTCCACCAAACTTTTTTCCATGCATTTGCTCCACTGCTTTCAGAGCGTCTTGTCTGTTAGCATATAGGACATTTGCTGAGTATGTTTTTAGATTTGGATAATCCCGATCTATCCATGTCGAAGGTTCTATACGCTCCCCTTCTGAACCAAAAAAGAATTCTGGATAAGGTCTTGCTTCAAATATCACGAATTTTCCAGATTCCTTACACAGGTATGCTATCAGATCACTAGGCGTTGATTTTGAGATATTATCAATGAGAACAATTCTTTTTCTTAGATCGTCTTTCTCTTTTTGTGTTACTTTAAATCTTTCTATATTATTCTCATTTTCATTAGCTTCCTCACTGTCATCACTTTCACTGTCATCATTTTCACTGTCATCATTTTCACTGTCATCATTTTCATTGTCATCATTTTCACTGTAATCATTTTCACTGGATTCACTAGTAAGATCTTCCTCACTACTACCTTCTTCTATATTAAAATCTTCATCATCATCGTCGTCGTCTACAATACTGTGACCCAAAAGAGCTTTTGTGCCTAATTCTGGATTATCGCTATACTCAGTATCATTGGAATAGTCTGAATCGGATACTATAGGATCTTCTACTTCAGGGTAACTTTTGATAATTGTAACCTTAGATTTTTTAATGTGATTTTCTTTCTTTTTTTGCTTTTCCTTGTCTTCATCTTTATCTTCATCTGTATCATCCTCGTCATCATCTTCATCACTCTCAGTTGTATTCTCATTACTTTCGACTTCACTATCCTCCTTTTGATCTTTCTTATTTTTCTTGGTTTTAGATTGTAAACCTTTAAACATTTTTATACCTTTATGCTCACTCATCTCTTCATCACTGTCATCATCGTCCATTTCTTCTTCATCGTCCATTTCTTCTTCATCAGAGTCATCATCATCATCATCCATGTCTTCTTCTTCTTCCTCATCCTCTTCATAATCTTTATCTTCATCATCTGATTCATCTCCTAAGCTCTTGCCAAAAATATCTGGGATATCTGAATCGCTTTCATCTGATTTATTTGAACTATCATCCTCACTTCCTTCATCCATCATCCTTTTAGGTACGAAGATGACGTTAGACCCAGATTGAGCCATTAGCTTTTTCACCTTTTTAGAACTGATCTGCTTAACTTCGTGTGATTTGTTAGAATTCATGCTTTGCTTGAATTTTTGTTTTTTGTTTTTGTTTGGAGAATCTTGTTTTGATCGCTTTGCTACTGCATTACCATTTGGAGAAGACTTTTGATATTTCTTCGAAATCTTGTTTTTATTTGAAGTAGGCTTTTGATCTGAAGATTTATTTCCAGAGGAGACTTTTGGGGAAAGCTTCTGATAAAGTTCTATTGAATTGATTAAAGCTACCTTACCTTTGGGTGTACTTTTAAATTTGGAATCTTTGTTCTTCTTTACAGAACCACCTTTTATTTCATGTAATTGTTTTCCTTTATTTGCATTATGCTTCAATGCCTTTACCTTACCCATTTTTTTTCTATAACAATATTTTTCTTCCTGTAAGAAAAAGATATGATTATAGGAAAACTCGAGCATAGATCATAAGTTAAAAAGATAAAGAGCAAAAGATAAAAGAGATAAACAATACAAGATAAAAAGGTAGAGATTAAGTCAAATATTTGTTGGACAAGTCAAAAATTCATGCCCAATTTATTATTAAAAATTCAAGCAGCTACAATTTCATTAAAAATAAACGAAATTTAAATACAAATATGTTGTTAAAACTTAAAATTTATACTTTTGAAAGGTCACTAGTTTTTGAATCTATGTGAGTTTGATAAATATTACATATAGGGCAAGTTCCATTATATTCGCGACGCTCGGAAGCATTATTTCATCCTTGTTTAATATTTGAAAATGATAAGGAATGATGCTCGCAAATGTTGCGAATGTTAAATGGAACGCACACATAAAAAACTACAAACTGAACAAAATAGTGATTTTTTTCTACTTTGTGGGCTTGACATAACCAAAAAAAATTTAACATTTTTTACTTTCTAATGTGAAAACTTAAGGTTTTTTTTTACAAAACCATTTTTAAAATATAAATATTAAACTTTGTTATACCGAGTTATCGCGGATTAAATAAAAAGAACTATTAATTTTAATTGTTCATAAAACCTGATCTACAATGCTTTTTGTTTTGTTTGTTGCTTTTGGTTATTTCTTATATCTTGTCTTTTTTGCCTTTTATGCTCATTTTTCGTTTTCTGTCGCCAGAGATAAAAATTAACGAACTTCGGAAGAAACAAGAAACACGTGACAAAAAATAAAATTATCAATAAAACTATCATAGAGGCAAAGAAGAGGTAAAAAAGCAAGAAACAAAGCGGGAAACAAAGAGCAGATCAGGCTTAATTCCATCAAAAATGAAACAGATGCGAATCGAAGCTTCGAATTAAATCTATCAAATAGTAGAATTGCCGCCAAAAAATATTGCGTCACAAATTTACGTACAAATTCGTTTGAAATCGGCCACTTTTGTACTCATATACATGGAAAAAAATACTCAAAATATATAAATATTAAAGATATCTTGGATTCTTCCCGTAATCGATATTGAAAGTTTATCAAGTTTAGTTGGGTTGTATTGAGTTTATCTCAGTAAATTATCAAATTTCACGATTATCAATTTAGTAGGTTAAATTTTTCAAATCAAAATATGAAATAAATATTTCAATACATCATCGATAACGGATAACAAATGTGTCCTTACATAAAAAAAATAATATACAAATAACCAAAAAGATACAAAATTAACATTGGCTTGTAACGAATTTTCAACGGTTGCAAATCCACGTGTAAGGATATCGAAACGAATATTTAATTGGACAAATAAAAAATTGCACCGTAAAGTATAAATATTTTCTAATCAATCTACAAATGCTTTACCTTTGCTAATCAGAAAACTTCGATTTTACGAAAGCAACTGTATCAATTCGAATCGCTATTCGTACCGTTTCACTTCCTTGCCTGTTGTCGAGACAAATGGAAAGAATGCGATATCCAATTCAAGCGAAACAAGAATCAAAAAGAATTGAAAAGAAAGCGTCGGTGATGAGAGCGCCAACTAGTGATGCTATTTTCTAACAATTAAATCGATTCTTAAGAATCGATTTAGAAATGAGCGATATCATTAAGATAAGATCATACGGTGCGAAAAACAACTGCGGAATAGAGAATGCGTCACAAAAGCAACCAATCAGCGCTATTCGAAATAACACAGCTAATGCTGATTGGTTGCTTCTATGATTCTACATTCCGCAGTCATTTCCGCACCGTGTGATTTCACTTTTATCGATATATACGAAAAATTGTTAGAAATTGTTCTTTAGGTAAAAAGAAACGATTCTTTTTACAAGTAGATCAATTTGAAGTGGTCTCAAAGACGATTTAAAATATCATTTATAAACCGTTTTTAAGACTATTTCAAATCGATTTTTTCGTAAATCGTTTTTAGAGATATTCCGGATCTCTCTATCTTATAGCCAATCAACAGGCTGTGTTGACGCTCTCATGTTAACATAATGGCTGTATTCGCATGTTGTTTCATTCTGGAGATCAATTCAGGGGGCTTACGGTTCTTCAGATAAAATGAAAATTACAAAAATGAGCAAACTTACTAGATGTTAACCAATAATAAATATTCTAGTAAATTCGATCATTTCGTAATTTTCACTTTGTTTCAAGAACTGTAAGTCCCCTGTATCTTAAAACGAGGTGAAAATTACAAAAGTGAGCAAATTTACAAGGTATTGACTAATGAAATTATCAATATTTCAGTAAATCCGTTCACTTTTGTAATTTTCATTCGTTTCAAGATATAGAATCGATCCCCTGGGAGTCGATTGTGTATCTCGAAACGAGATAAAAATTACAAAAGTGAGTAAAGATTACTAGGTATCGAGCAATTAAATTGAAATTCTAATGAATTTGTTTACTTTTGTAATTTTCACTTCATTTCAATACAATCGACTCCCTTGTTTATTAAATATTAAACAAGGACGGATTGATACTTACAAGCGCTGTGAGCAGCAAAGCAAACGTAGGCAATAGGTGTAGTAAGCCTTTTGCCTTGAAGAATTAACCAATCATTGTCGATTATTCTTCTCACACTCGACTGTAATTGATCAATTTTTTAAGACTTAAGGCTACTACACTCATTGTGTGTTTACGAGGTAAAGGCACTTTTACATCTTAAGTTTTTCTATACAACCAATAGCTTCAGAAACAAAAAGATCATAATTCTTCGGATGTTTTCGATTTTGTTAGTAATCAGTTTGTGACAGTGAGTTTTTAGTATGATTTCATGTGATTTCCTGTGATACCACAAAAATACTTCTGTGATACAATAAAAATGCTAAACGAATATGACGCAAAATTGATGGAAATTCATAATTTCTGCAAAAGCATATATTTAAATTTAACTTATTATTAACTTATCATTTTATTATGCAATTTATCAATTTATTATACACACACCACATAAGTTATTGAGATTAATTTATGCTTAGCGCTAGACCGTTTGACGAGAATTAATCTTCAATTATGCAAATGTAGTTTAACATGTCGACTACAACGAAAAAATGTATACCGAGGTGTTAAATGAATTTTCGCCATTACGAGAAGTGCAATAGAATCCAAGGGATTGCACGTCATCGTGATATCTTTTTAAGAATTCAATAAATTTTGTATCTACTCGAGGGACGGTATCATGGCTGTGTCAATAAATGAAATTTGCGAGAACACAAAGCTCGCGCGTGAGATGGCATTGATAGGAAACTATGACACATCCGGTGTCTACTATCAAGGGGTCGTGCAGCAGATACACAGATTACTCGCAACCATAGCGGACGCGACTCGCAAGGCAAAGTGGCAGATAGTGCAGCATCAGATCGTCGAAGAATTTGAGAAAGTGAAAGCCACATCCAGCACGTTGCAACTTTTCAAAGTGGACACACATGGCGATAGGCTGCTCGGTAACACGATTAGGATAGAGTTCATCCAACTAATTGAGATAATGTCAAGCTGATTTAACAAGTCCACAAATTTCAGGAACATCCTGCTTATCATTCGAGGAAATGACACGAGATTCTGCTCTCTGGGCTTACAACAATTCAGATTCCTCTTGGAATCAAACACAGACCAGGGATCCCGATGTGTGGCCTCCCTTAACTCCAGCAGAACAAAAGTATCAATATTGATTTAAACTTATAATACTTTATTACTTATTAATTTGTGATAAGTTTAAACTTTCTTCTTCAAGAAAATATTTCTAGTTTTTTCTTCTCTTTTCGATACTGATATATATTATTGTTATATAATTATGGAAAATATCTAATTATTATTACATCTTTTTCAGAAATTCAAGACAACAAAAAATTCAACAACAGAAACAGCAAAATCGTACAAATACTAAAAAATCTCTTGCCACGGCTAAAAAGCCAGACAGTAAGGCTTCTGGTAAAAAGGATGACAAGAAAATTGTAAAGAAAGACGATGCAAACAAGGTAACTTACTTTATTTTTATTAATTATGTTTTATGCTTGTAATATTGCTAATATTAATATAAGTTATGTAATATTATATAACTAATAATTTACAGGATAAGTCAGAAACGGAAAAAGATGATGTTGAATTAGAAGAACGTAAATTTGAACCATCTGCTAATGATAAAGATCTTGTAGAAATATTAGGTAATGATATTATTCTGTCATTTTCATTAATATCATTGCTCACAAATGTATAACGATGAAAATATAAAAGCAAACATGTATGTTAATATTTAGAAAGAGACATTGTTCAAAAGAATCCAAATATCCATTGGGACGATATAGCTGATTTACACGAGGCAAAGCGGTTACTAGAGGAAGCAGTTGTACTTCCAATGTGGATGCCTGATTTCTTCAAGGTATATTTTCTTTTTTAATTTTAATTGTATGTTACAATAAAATTTTGTTTATATTAACATATATGATATTTTTAGGGGATTAGGCGACCTTGGAAAGGAGTATTAATGGTTGGACCACCTGGCACAGGCAAGACTATGCTCGCAAAAGCTGTTGCAACTGAGTGTGGCACAACATTCTTCAATGTTTCATCCTCTACATTGACATCGAAATATAGGGGTGAATCGGAGAAACTTGTTCGATTGTTATTCGAGATGGTAAAAAATTAAAACATCTATATAACTGAATAAAATAAATTTCTATAATTGAACGAAATGTAATATCCATTTATGATACTAATATATTTTGTTGGCTATAGGCCAGATTTTATGCGCCCAGTACAATTTTCATCGATGAAATTGATTCTCTGTGCTCCAGAAGAGGATCTGAATCTGAGCATGAAGCTTCACGTCGTGTAAAGTCTGAACTTCTTGTTCAAATGGATGGAATAAGTTCCAATAGGTAAAACACTGTGTAATATTTTTGCTTTTGTGATACAAATGGATACTAAAGATCCCTGTTTTGTATAGTGAAGATCCAAGTAAAGTAGTAATGGTACTAGCAGCAACAAATTTCCCATGGGATATCGACGAGGCTCTAAGAAGACGGTTAGAAAAACGTATCTACATTCCATTGCCAAATCGTAAGTCTATTAAACTTCGTAAGCCTTCAACGGGATGTAGTGCATACTTAATAATAAAATATGTTTTTGTTTATTGTAGATGAAGGCAGAGAAGCATTGTTAAGGATAAACCTTCGTGAAGTTAAAGTAGATTCGTCTGTAAACCTCACAGATATTGCAAGAAAACTAGAGGGTTATTCTGGTGCGGATATTACAAATGTTTGTAGGTGAGTAGAGTTTATTAAAATATAGTTTACATCGAGTTTCGACCTATTTTACCCGCGTTTGTTACAGGGATGCTTCCATGATGCTAATGAGAAAGAAAATCGCGGGTTTAAGGCCCGATCAAATCAGGCAATTGCCAAAGGAAGAATTGGATTTGCCTGTATCCGCTGCTGATTTCGACGAAGCCGTTGAGAGATGTAACAAAAGCGTTTCCCAAGAAGACTTAGAAAAATATGAGAAATGGATGAGCGAATTCGGTTCCTCTTGATATCATTCCCTCAAGAAGTAATAACATAGTTCATTAACATGTTTGTTGATCCTGATTACAATTAATATTATAATATTATTCTGTTTAATATAAACGGGGAGCTTCTTAATCCTTTGTAACTCCTAATGACTAGTTCTCTATACTTGAGACTTGAGGAAAATCAAATCAAATTGGAAAATAAGACTGTACGATAGGAATAATGAGATAAAAGTTGGGTAATATTGCTAATCTCAACTGTAACGCTGAAGACTTAACTGGCAGTAATTAAGTAGTCGTAAATAACTTTTATAGTCAATAATATATTCCATTAAGTCTAAATGTAAATCTGTTCATAATACTACAATTAAAACAATATTTCTAGAATTATTGATATGTTGTATATACACCTTTAGCCTTTCTTTGGAGCACAACCTTCTTTCCGTAAATTTCTCGTTTCTTCGTCTATATTTTTTGAATCTTTAGGTGCTTTGTAATTAGAAACGTGATCTACTCGTATTACTCTACCTAATATCTATAACAAAAAAACATTTTTGTTAGACATTTCAAATAGTTATAATTATATATTTTATAGATATTGTAAGCAATTACATAATTTAGAGATATAAAATTTTATCATACATATAAAAATAAAACAATTCGATTCTAAAGAGACAATTATATCGCTATCCCACTAAAACAAACCTTTATGCCATTGAAATTGTCAACCGCTAATATGGTGCTCCTCTGATCTTCATAACATAAGAAACCATAACCCTTTTGTTTTCCAGTATCTTTATCTCTGATTAAGTTTATATTAACTACTTCCCCATATCTGTAATGATATTCTGTATTTAATGTAAAACTCCAGTTGTGTTTAGAATTATAATTACAACTTGTTCACTGTTTAACTTACTGAGAGAAAATGGCAATAACATCACCTTCCGTTAAATTATATGGAAGGCCACCGACAAAAATCCAAGCACTATCTTTATACTGGTCGTGCCAAGATGATTTATTCCTCCCTTGTAATTCTTGTTCGTTGAGCTTCTTTATATTTTTGACGTTACTGAAAGCACAGATCAGTCATATCTTTTATTTCATAAAACAGAAATTCGTATATGTCAAGCTAAAAATTAGAGATAATAAAACAAGAAATGTTTGATCATATTATTAAATAAGATTATTAATCCAATTATTAAGTTAACTAATCAAATATATTTTCTACTGTTCACGTAATTTTCTTAACCAATAAATGGATTGAAAATACGTACGTCAAAGGATTCATTGCACCTAATAATGAAAAATTTTACGAAGTTATACATAAATATACTATAAACTTTAATCACAGGAAGAATATTGTAAAACGCTTAAAATATTCGAAAGATACTAGAGAGAAACTATGATAGAATTGGTTTTGTTTATGTGTGTTTATAATTTTTTTTTCTTTTTAGGTTGATTTTAAGCCGCTATTTCAATTCCTCGACGGACCTATTCTATCGAAGATACTAATTGGCTGTCGATGATCACAAATTTCTCAACTGATTCAACTGATTCAATCATGATGTAAGAAAACATACCATTACCAAGGATGCGCAGGAGAGTAAATTTGAGGCTAAAATTTGATTGGCTGCGTTCAGCAGAAAAAGCAACTTTGCACTGTTGTAAAATTCTTTAATATAATTGGTCTTATCCTTAATTCCTCACTGGATCTAAATGTATAAACCAATTATATCTAAAAATTTTACAACAGTTGCTAAGCTGTTTTCTTTGTTAAACGCAATCATTGGCTATTCCAATATGCCAGCGCTATTATACGCAGGAAAGTGCATAGAGGCCAAAATTTGATTGGTTGTTTCCAATATTGCTATCGCCATTATGCGCAATGGTACACTTTGTATTATTATACATCATGGATTCAACTATTCAACACATGATTCCAATCAAGAAAAAATCAGAAGGTCGATTGTGGATTTTGAAAGGTGAAAATTACAAAAATGAGCAAGGATTACTAAGTATTGACCAATTAAATTATGAATACTCTAGTGAATTTGCTCACTTTTATAATTTTCATCTCATTTGAAGATGCATAATCGACCTCCTGGGGATCGATTCTATATCTTGAAACGAGGGAAAGTTACAAAAGTGAGCGAATTAACTAGAATACTGATAATTTCATTGATCAACGCCTAGTAAGTTTGCTCACTTTTATAATTTTTATCTTATTTAAAGATACAGAATCGATAGGCAGCTCCCATGATGCCTACGTACTTGACGTTTGTATCACGCGTGCTCCAATCTAATCAAATCTAATCCGAGATAACCCATGCTGAGGTATTTGCTTCTGTTCTCTTGTCAATTTCTTCCTCACGTCAATCTCTTGCTCCATTTAACGTTAAATTGACGTTTGCAAGATCTTCAAGAGCTGCAAGAGTGGAAAAGATGATATTCAATATCGACGGGGATTAAAACGTATCGGACGTTCCTAACGGACTTAAGTTAGATGGACAGTTTAGGTTAGGTTAGGCGGGGTTGGCAGAGGGTTGCGGTTTTCCACCGTCAACATCAAGGACGATCCTCTCCATCGGTTGTTATGTACTCGACGAAGACGCCGACTCTACGAATCGACGAAGCTGATCTGAAGTGCAGAAATGGCTGTGGGTTCTATGGTAACGCGGAATGGGAGGGTTACTGCAGCAAATGCCACCGAGAACACTTGCAGAAACGACGAGCTCAAGCTGAACGTGTGTCCCACGCACAGAGCTCGGATATGTAAGATTTATTTCTCCCATATGAATTCTCGTATTGTTTCTCTAAGCTTTTTAAACATATCTTATTTGTTGCTTTTATAGAGACAATGTCAATCGCTCAACGAATGTTGGAAGTCACAAGGGATACGAGGAGAAGAAAGTACAGCAGGAGAAGAAGTATAAATTATTGAATATTTCATTCAGGAAACCTGTTGCTAAAGGTAAGCTGTGTTACATTGCTGCTTCTTGTAAATAGTTGTCTATTAGAAGTATGCAATAATATTTATGTATTTTCAAGTTCAAGGATATCAGGAATTGTATCACGAACTGCTGAAGGATAATCCAGATCTTGAGAAAGTTAAGGCGGAGAATCGAGATTTGTTGTTGTATATAGCTAAAACGCCAGTGGAGAAGGATGTAAGAAAATGCATACATTCATTTGTGGTAGACATACTTCAGAACAAAGATGTGAAGAGGATAGAAGAACTATCCGAAATAACGCAAAACTTTTATCATGTGTTTGGAAAGCGTCTGGAAAACAGCACCAAATATTCAGGTTTTAATCTATCACATATATTTACTTTTCTGAACATTTATCCTGAATAATTCGAAGTTTATCTATTTTATGCTATACCTAGTTTTTATGTTATTACAGATATACCTCCAGATATTAAAGAGAAGTTACTAGATTATGTCGAAAGATATGCAATGACTTTGTTGTATAGAATCCTTTTTTGTCCTCCATTCACGACAGATGAAGAAAAAGATTTGGCTATACAGAAAAGGTGTATATCATAATTTTGGAATAGCTTAAACTATTTACAGTATATTATCAGTTATTTTTTCTTAACAGGATACGACAATTAAATTGGGTTAGTGGCAAGAATTTGGAATGTAGGATTCACGAGACAAGCTCGGAAGTTAGAGAACTTGTTTATACATCTATCACAGGTTTGTTATAGGTCTGTTCTTTTTAGTTGAACTTCTTGCACAGTTCATCTTTTCTTTTTTCTCTCCAATATGGAGAAAAAAGAAAGAAAGAAATTGTACAAGAACTTTTTAGATAAAAAAGACAGATCTTATATTACTAAATGAAATACAGTCAACATAACAGTCAACAATTTTGCAATCCAACATTGCGCCATAATATGGAACACAAATTTCTTTTAGATCTTTTAAATATGGATTCCGCTAAAGCACCCCAAGAGAAACTGGCGTGTGTAATTCATTGTTGTAGAAATATATTTTTGTTATTGCAACAGTCTGTTGATGGACCTGCATCTGCTGATGAATTCCTTCCGGCGCTTATATTTATCGTTTTAAAGGCTAATCCTGCACGCCTAAAAAGCAATATAAATTTTATCACGAGATTTTGCAATGCCAGCAGATTAATGACTGGAGAAGGAGGCTATTACTTCACAAATCTGGTAATGTTATATATATTAGGAATTTCGCAAATTTCTTTTACGCTATCTCCGAAGGCAAGAGATCATTATTATTGTTTTTAATAATAACTATTTGTAACATTAGTGTTGCGCAGTGTCATTTATTGAAAACTTAACCGCGGAATCCTTGAATATGGCTGAGAAGGACTTTAATGCATACATGTCAGGGGAATGTGTTCCAGCTAACACATGGGAATCGGCTCTTATGATATGCGAAGTAATATTTGTGATATATATTTGTGTTAAGGATTGATTACTCATGGATGTAATTTATTATATAGTGTTAAATTTATGTTTAATGTATGTAATGTTTAATTATTGCAGAGTTTACACTTCATGTGCGAAGATATAACTTTATTAGATGACTTGCAAGCTAAAAATACTGATATTATAAAACAAGCGGAAGAACTGAAAAATAAAATGATAGATTTCAAAGAGAAGATCAGAGAGGATGTGGATAAAGTAATTGAGAGAACACCGCTATTAATATCGCATAGTCAGAGGGTACCTACTAATTTAGATAGCGAGGATATTGAGAGCTATCAGCTACCGCCGCCGATTATTCCACAGGTAAGAATGAGATACAATAGGTGAAAATTAGATTTTTCTAACTAAACACATTGAAATCAGCGCCTTATCGGTCACAGTAAGATGTTGAATTACTGACTTAATATACATTCAATAAAATTGAAAGTATATAATTAATTTTTCAGACATAAATTGAGAGCCGATGAAATTATCGGATTCACACAATAAATCTGAAACTAATAAATCCCCCCAATTTCTTCCCAATCTTAAAAACTGTAATAATTTTATTGCGAAAAAATATTGCCTCGGCCGGGAGTCGAACCCGGATCTCTTGCATTCCGTG